GCGGGTGCGCAGCCACCGGCAGAGAGCCCGGTATCCCCAAACCCGCTCAAGGACTGGCCCCGCATGGACAAGCCGGAGTGCTTTCCCCATCCTCGGCCAGTGCACGCAGCCACCGGTGCTGAAGGGTGGTCCCCAACGCCTGGCACTCAGCCGTCCCCTCCCGGGTCCCTCTTGCCCTGGGTGTGGGGTGGGCAGCACCCCGCTGCTCAGCGGGAAGGGGACGGGGGCGCCGCTCGGTGCTGTCCCCACCAGCGCAGCCAGCCGGGAGCGGGTCTCCTTGGCACCGAGACCTGCCACCACCCTCTGTCCTGGCCCCATGGCCACCCCGAGGTCCCACAGTGCCGGGGTTTGGGCTGGAGCCCTGGGAAGCCTCTGCTGCTCCATTCCTGTCCCGCCAAGTCTCCCCGGCAGTTTTGCAGAGCGGTTTGGGCAAGCCAAGCCTGCGATGGGCCAGTTCCCGGGGATGCCATGCCGTGAGCCCGGCGCAGGGAGGGAATGGTCACCCACACCGCAGCAGGAGCTGGGGTAATCCGGTGCCGTTCCCTTTGCCATCACCATGGCAGGTTCCTCCGGTGATGTCCCTGCACCGCACCATGGGCACGGCGGCTGACACACCAGCTAACGATGAGTTCCTTTTATTAAGGAGTTTAGAAAGTCCACATGTACAGTGTTGGACACCACGCACACACGACCTAGACTTCACGGCACTGCTACACACCACAACCCGGCCCAGGGCTTGGCCCAGAAGGTAGGTGGCCATATCCCGGACCCCCGGCCGCTCCTGCCCACCCCTCTCCAGGGAGGTGTCACCGCAGACGGGTTTAGCCTAATCCGGGGCCGCGGAGCGACGCGTGCGCTCTCGGGAATAATCCTGGGAAATCCTGCGTCTCGGCGTGGATTAAATACCTCTGGCGCAAGTCAAAACAAAGTCGTTAGGGAGTCCTGGGTGACGCGGGCAGTTACACAAGGGTGTGCTACCGACAAACTGCACGTACAACGGCCCCTTCCCGGCACGGAAAAACACCGGTGGAGGGGTGCAGGGAAGGGACGAGCCTTCCTGCCCAGGGCACGTGGCTCCGTGTGCCGCCTTGTCCTGAAGACAAGCGCTAGAAAACCCAGCTACAGCTAATCCACTGAAATAGATGAACAAAAAATAAAGGTGGGCATCGCGCTCCCTGCCTGTGCCTGGACCCTTTCCAGAGGGGTCCTGCGGGGTGTGGGAAGCCCCTCGGAAGCTGCCGGGGGGCTCCAGCTCTCGTGCTGGCTGGGAAAAGCCACCACCAAGCTCCCCTAAAATCCCACCGCTCGAGGAAGCCAGCCCGGCCGGCTGCTCCGGGTTGGTGGGGATAGAGCCGGTGCTTGTGCTCGGAGCTCATCCTCACCCGAGGGCTCTGAGGAACGTCTCTGGCAGACGGGAAAGCTGCAGTGATCCTCGATGCATCGTTTGTCCCTGTTTCCCCGGCAGGACAGACAGACAGAGACTCGTCCGGCACGTGAAAAAGCTCGTCCAGCACAGGATCCGAGGTGGGGAAGGCTTAAAAAAAAAAGGAGAAGCACCCAGGGAAGCACAAATCTGCCACAGCCGGGAAGATGAGCCTTTGGTCTCCCAGGGCCTTAAGCCCCGCTGGAATCGGGGGTGGCGGGAACTTTCCTCCCCTCCTCGGGCAGTCTGTCCATCCGACGGTGTCTGTTGGGGCCGGGGCCCGGCGTGGGAGCTCTGCTCCCCATTGCTGCAGCAGCACTGGCAGAAAATCACATAAAGGGTGGTGGGGTCCCAGCTGTCCCCCTCCCCTCCCTGGTCCCACACAGCCCACTCAGGCTTGCTCTTTTTTTGTTTGTTTGTTTGTTTGTTTTGGAGAAAAAAGCCCCCGTTTGAGTCCTTCCAGGGAGCCAGAGGGAGAAGTCACCCCACACCCCGTGGCAGCTCCTCCTTGGGTCAGCCGGCACGAGGCATCGCCTGCCGCCCCGTTATCAGGGCCCTGCAGATGCTAAGCCCCACTCGGGGCTTCTTTTTGCAAAACCTTAATGGGATTTGAAGAAATGAAAGGCTTTGAATATCTGCAGGTGCCGAGCCAGAGCGCGGCTCATCCTGGGTGCAAATGAACGCGGGTCCCCGGGCCGTGAGCGAGCGAAGGGGGCTTGCACGGGGGCACGTGGGCACGCTGTCCAAAGTCAAGGGTTTCGGGAAAGGTCACAGCTTTTGGATGGCAAAAGTCTGAGCAGGTCTGGTTGGGAGGGAGGAGCTGTGAAACGCAGGCAGAGCCGTGCCGGGAAGCGAGCCTTTCTCCTCGCCACGCTCCCTGTTTCCCCAGCACTGCCAAAACAGCTCCGTGCCATGCTCGGGTCTGGGTGTGCATCCTTGCAGCACCGCGTCGGCTTGTTTTGGGGTGCCCCAACCCACCAGGAGGCTCCAGGAGTGAGAAAAGGGAACAACGGGGATGAAGGAGTTCATAATTGTCCCTTTCCATCTGCATTGCTCTTGCAGGGGGAGCGGCGAGCGTTTCGCAGACCGGAGAAGGAATCGCTGGCACAATCAGGCATTTGCTTGGGCTGTAACCTAGCTGAGCCCTCCCCGTCCCCAGTAGCACCATGGGGTGAGCCAGAGCCGTGGAGCAGCAGTCCCGTCCCTGTCCCGGGGGCTCTGCAGGGCTCGGGGGTTCCCCAGCGCGAGTGTTTGACAGTCCCTCGCCATCTCGGCCGGGCCACTGCCGGCTGTCTGTGCCCAAGGTGGAGATGAGCGGAGGCGCCCAGCCTGCTGCATCCCTCCCTCCCTCCCGGCAGCCTTTTCCCTTCCTTGCCGAGCCCCGCTGGGCACTGCTCCCCAAATCTCTGCGTCCCGCTGCCCTCTCTGCTGCGGCCGTGAGCACCAGCTGTGGGTCACAGGAGACCCATTTTGGCTGCAGGGGAGCCATGGCAGTAGGAAGCAAAGGGGGGCCCCCCTGAGGGGGGCCCAGCCGTTGGGGAGGATGGTAGCCGGGGGGATGGGGCTGCGGGGTGGCGGGAAAGGGCAGGGGGCTGGGCAGAGGTTGGGGGGGGGCTCATGCCATCCAGCTAATTCTCCTCCCGGACAGGCCGGATCTTCATCTCCGTGAACTTGAGGGAGTACTGCCAGCCGGTCCAGGAGGACCACTCGATGCCGTCGGCGTAGGAGCTGTGATGGCCCTTGAGGTACTGCCCGTTGAGGTTGGAGGTGTGGCAGTTGCGGTACCACCAGGCGCCGTGGTAGAAAGCCGCACAGTTGTTCTCCGAGTGGTCGTTGTCCAGGTCCTTGGTGGTGAACTTCATCCCGTTGTGCTTCAAGAAGGAGTCGCCTGCCGGGGGGGGGAAAGGAGCCATGATGGGCCCTTCCTGCCCCTCACCCTGCCCTCGGGCTGTCTCCCGCCCCGGGGGACTCCCCTGGGCACCCCAATGGGGCACCTTTGGTGATGCACAGGGCGCTTGGGGTCACCCACCCTGCAAATGCCCAACTGCAGCCCCTCTCCTGCCTTCAGCTCCCCGTGGCTGCAGGGACACAGACTGCAGACACCCCAGCGAGGGGGCTTGGTGGCCGTGGACACCCCTCCTGCCCCACGGGACCATGCGCGTTCCCCTGCCCCGCTGCCCTACCTGCTGTCCCCGAGTAGTCAGCGATGGAGACGGGGTACCCGTCCTCCTCGGGGTCAACAGAGAAGAGCCCCACGCCGAAGCTGCCGTAGTGGGCGAAGGCGGTGCCATTGTCGGGGGGTCCCTGGGGAGGGGGTGCGGGGTGGGATGGGGAGCGGTTCCCACCATCCAGCCCTCGCTCTGTTATTGCAGCACAGCCAAGGGGATGTGCTCCGCTCGCGGGCAAACAGCCCCATCGCTTCCCTGCCCCTGTGCAGCCACCCGGTCCCCTCCCCGCCCACCCGGGACATCATTCCTAAGACGTGAGTGCCGGCCAGGGGGGTCTCAGTGTCCCTTCCCTTGCAAAGGAAACCCCAGATCCCCCCTGGGGGGGGTTCCCCAGGCTTTGCCAGCCCACCCAGGAGCGGGCACTGCCATCCCCACACACCTAACCAGTGCTCTCCCGTCAGCTTCCCGAAGCCGTCCCGGTAGGCTTCCCAGCCGCGGAAAAAGTTCACGGAGCCGTCCTCCCGCCGCTGGAACACCTGGGGAGGGAGACACGGGGCATCAGTCATGGGGCTGCTCCACACCTACGCACTCCAAACAACCCCCCCTGCTCCCCACCATGCTGTCCCCCACCTCCCTGCTGCCGCCTTATGAGACACGGGCACAAATTAAACCCTTCCAAATCGGTAATTGCACAGGGATGCTGGAGAGCAGGTCCCCAGGGAAGTGCCAGATCAAGCTCCCGGGGACGGATAAGTTGGTTCAGATAAAACACTTTCCCGGATCCTCCCGCCTGGAAAGGGGAGCAGAGCTCGGGAAACCCACAGTGTGTTCCTGCAGGAAGGTGGCCGGTGCCCCCCGGGAGGGGTGGGCACTCCGCACCCGGCTCCAGGCTGCGCGCAGGGACCAGCCTGGGCTGCGCCGCTGCAGGTGGGAGCAGAGGTATGGATGGATGGACGCTGTGACTCGAGGTCTGTTCCCACAGCACGTGCTGCCCGGGTCAGTCCAAGCCATCCTGCAAATCATAGAATGGTTTGGGTTGGAAGGGACCTTGAAGACCACCCAGTGCCACCCCCTGCCCTGGGCAGGGACACCTCCCACCAGCCCAGGTTGCCCCAAGCCCCGTCCAACCTGGCCTTGAACACCTCCAGGGATGGGGCAGCCACAGCTTCTCGGGGCAACCTGCCCCAGGGGCTCACCACCCTCAGAGTGAAACATTTCTTCTTAATATTTAATCCAATCTGTATCTAATCTAAATCTACCCTAACGGTGGGATGCTCAGTGCCCTGTAAAACTCCCGGGTCCCCGTTCTGTCCTGGGCAGCCGCCCCATTATCAGGCATCGTTCCTGTGACAGCCTCATTAGTCTCCCAGAGAAATTAACTGTGGGGCACCGACCGCCCCGACTCCTGCAGAGCCCCCAGATTCCAGCCGGATCCCCGGGGCTCAGCGTGGCTTTTCTCGGAGCCTTTCCCTTTTCCTCTCCCATCTGCTCATCGGCATGTCATGCCCTGTGCGTTCCATCCCCTTTTATCCGTAGTTTCGGGTTTGATTTATCGACAACGATCCAGAAAACGCTGCTCTGTGTCCGACCATTTGAACTTAATTAAGCCTCCAGCCCTGGATTAATTGCATTAAACTTGGCTGAGCCAGCCTGCCTGATTGCCACCAAGCACCGCGCTCCCATGCCCATGGAGGGGGGGACAGTGATTTAGGAGCAGCCACTCCACATGCCATCACCCAAAGGGCCAGAGCACCCTGTCTTTGGGGCCGGGCTGTGCCGCCGAGCCCGTTCACCCCAATTCCAGCATCCCAGGCTCGGGTGATGCCACCGAGCCCCCGTGCCGGCTGGGAAGCTGCCGTGCGTTGCTCCACCGCCAAGGACGCTCCTTCGCAGCCTCCCCATGGCTGCTCCTGCCCGTTCATCCCGACATGCGGAGCAGACCCAGCTCAGGAGTTTCACACTGGTTTGCCCTTCACCAGATGGGCACTTTCGGGGCCGGGGATGGCCGGTGTGGGCTCCGGTCCGCGCCCCTCAGCACGGCACAGCTCTGATCCTGCTGTACTTACCTTCTAGAATTAGAGCCTTAATTTTTATCCCTGTGTTGAGCGCTTGAGAAGCTGCGGTTAAGCCTGTTTAAAGGGGCTTTCTTCAGGCTTGGTGGGAGAGGGGGATGGCATGGCTGGACGGGGGCCCGAAGCTGATTTTCCCCGGACAAAGTCGGCTCCGGCGCTGCCGGGCGCGGAAGGCGGCAGAGGCAGCACCGACGCTCCCTCTTAATCAGCTTTGACCTACAGTTGTAAATAGGCCAATTGCCTGAGCGGTGCCCGGGGACGTGTGCGGGGCACGTCTCCGTTGGCTGAGCCACGGCACGACTTGGCAATCGGGTCCCAAAGGAGCCCTCGGTGCCCCGCTGCCCACCCGGCTCAGCCCCAAGCGACTGGAAACCGTGTCGGAAGGGCTGGTGGGTGCTGGAGGTCCTGTGTCCTCCTGGGTCCCCATCCTCATCACCTTACACGCGCAGTCCCTTGTCATGCTTCACTCGTGCGCACACCACGTGCAGGCAGTGACGCGGGAGCATCCTCCTCACCCCCCACACCGGGATGCTGCCTGCACCGGGATGCTGCCCGCACCGCTGACCGGCAGCCTCGCCGCGCGCTCCCAGCCCTGCCTCGCTGCTCTTTTCCTCCTCATCAAATATGCATCACCCCCTCTTAAGCAAAAAGGATTTCCTTCCCTTCTTTAAAGGCAAGGCTGAAATATTTATCTCCCCCGCTCTCTGCCTCCCCCAGTCGCGCTGAGCTCGCAGGGCAGGGACAGGATCCTGCAAAGGCATCAACCCAGAAAAATGGGTTAAAAACAGAGAAAAGCGGGAGCGCCAGCCTGTGCCTACTGTGGCGTTGGCGGTGAGGGAGGGCTCTGCTCCCTCTCCCCGTAGCCCCCACCAAACCCCCAACGGGCTCAAAACCCCACCTCAGCCTGGGGAGATGCTCGGCCATCTGCCACCGCAGTGCTCAAGCTCCTGGTCAAGTTTTCGGCGGCCGTGGCACGGCCCCCACAGCCCCGGCCCCACGGCGTTCCTCTGAGTCCCCATCACAGCGGGGAGACCGTCTTTGGGTTCAGCCACGGAGAAGACAAACTGGGCTCATCGCTTGAGCCGGTCTCTGGGAAGCGCCAGTCCCGCGTGACAGCCCGCAATCATCGCAGCCGGCAGCGCTGCCCGGCCCGGGGACCCGGCTGCTTCTGCCTGTCCCCACCAGCAGAAGTGTCTCATCCCCATCCGTGGCAACACGTAAATCACATCTTTCGGAAACAGCACGTGTTTCCTCAGGCTCGTCTCACTCGCTGCCTTTGGCTTGCCCCAGCCCATGTGTAAATGCATCGGTGTCTGCTCAAACCCGTCCAGCCCACTCCGGGACCCCTCCGGTGGGTGACGAGCAGCGTGGGCGTCATCCCCATGAGCATCCCCAGCGCGGCAGGTGCCCGTGAAGCTGGAAGCTGTCACTTAACATCACCACAGCCTTTGCCTTGCCAGCACAGCTTTTTCTTCCGCATCCTTCACCTTTCCCACCACATCCTTTGCCTTTCCCACCACTTCCCAACACATAGAAAATGATGCTGATGCAGCCAGAGCCATCACGGCACCACTCCTTATGGGGCTGAGATGCTGATCCCGGGGGGCTTTGCCCCATCTGGGCAGCAATGGATGCTCAGGGGCACTGGGATGAACGCAGGGCGTTTGCAAAGACTTCGCAAGACAACAGCACGTGAAGAGGCAACTTTTTCAGGCCTCCCGGGATGCCGAGCCTCCCCCACCCTCCATCACCCCGTTATTACTTTAATAAAGTGCGGGAGGTGAGTGTCAAAGGGGGAGTCGGGGTCAGGGTGGGCAATTACACGGCTGCAGCCCGGCGCTGCCACGAGGCTCAGGTCAGCCCGGGGGAGTCGCTGCAATTAAAGTCGGTGCTGAGCGCAGTACGTGGATGCTCCCATTGGCGCCAGTGGGCACCAACCCGGACCCACATCCCAGCCGGCTGCGAACGTGGCCCTGCTGCTGGCGGGCAGGACCGAGGGGGGAACAAAACAGACCGGGGGGTGCGTGCTGAGGGCTCCCCAGCTCTTCCTCCCCACATTTCTTCACCTCTGTGTCACCCTGCCCCGCACGGATGCTGACGCTGGCTGCCCTCTCTGCCAGATTTCTGCTTTTCGGCTATGCCAAAGAGGCAGCGAACAGCCCCAGAGCTGCGGGGGGGCGCCCGGGGACCCTGCCTCTGGCAAGGGGACGGGGTGACACCACAGATCACGCCGCGGGGACGGGGAAGTGCTGAGCAGCACCCGGTGAGCAACCCCGGCCGGGTTTCTCCCCGATGGGGCATTGAGGTGGCTCTTCCCTCTGCCTCGCTCCCCGTGGTCTCTAAGCTGTCCATGCAGGAGAAGGCTTAGCTCAGCAGCTCCCAAGCTCCCGAGTCAAAATTGATTCAGTTGCTGCCATCACTTCCACCCACCCACCCACATGCAAATAAGCCCAAATGTCAGGAGTAATCGCTCCAGAGGAGGAGGGGAGGGGAGGGAAATTTCCCAGGCTCTGCACCACCATGCCCAGCTGTGGCATGGCTTATCCGGAGCCCCCAGGACACCCCCAGCCCCATGGACACCCCCCAGCCCCACGGGAGATGGCTGAGACACCCCCTGTCTCCCCGAGGGACTGGAGGTACGTTTGGGAGCCGGTGCTGCAGAGCAGCCCCACGGAACGGGAGCCCGGG